TGTGGTGCCATGGTTTTGATCACTTTCCATGGTTAGTTTGTGCAGCAACGCCCCAGGTACCCTGAGCTACTGCACAGTCATGCAGTTTTACAAAGCCTGTGCCCTGGAGGAGCTGAAGAAATCCCATGGCCCACTCCTCCCCTCTGCGAAGATTTTCTCTCAAAGCTCAGTTGGACTCCTTCAGAAATAGAACTTGGCTGCGAAGTCACTTTGAAAAACTTTCTGTATGTTAATTTTGGCGGCCAAGGTCTTGAGCAGAGGCGGGAGCCCGCCATCTGCAGATGGGGTCGGCCCCCAGCGTGCTCGCAAATCCCCATCATCTGGCAGGTGTCGTTTTGGGTTAATTAAGAGCTACGCTGAGCCCGTTCGCCTGTCACTTGTGAGAATTTTAGGAAACTTTGACTTTCTTGCCATCTCTGAGCTTTAAGTGAAGGGAAACTGAAATACTTCAGCTTCGGTGATGTTCCTGCCCCTGAAATCTCCAGGGCAGCTGCATTGAGCACATTTTATCCCAGCCCCCTTAGAAACTTTCCATTTTGGCTAGTGTTTTCTAGTGATTTCATTGGTTTTTAAAGTCAGCTCTTGGAAGACAGTGCTGTTCCAGGAAACCCCACATTTATCTTAGGTTCTGAAGCCTCTGCTTTCTTTCGGAGTCTTTGAGGAAGAACATTCCCCTAGGTTCATGGCTTTGCAGGATCTTCAATTCACTGGTCTTCTAGCCATCAAGGTCTGGCTCGTCAGGCTAACCTTCGAGTTCTGCGATCAGGGGAGGTTAGAGCACACATAACTGGGAGATTAGTTCACAGGTGGCCAACTGGCCCACTTCTTTGTCTCTCTGGGGTGATGCTAATAGTCTGTAAGTTGGTAGGGGGTTAGGTTACACGGGTATACACATTTGTCAAAGCTCAGCAATAGTCTGTTTAGTTTTGTGTATTTCATTATGTGTAAATTGTATATCTAAAGAAAAAATTTTCTCATTAAACAAATAATGAACTTTAGTAAATGATATGCACATGAAATACGTAGGAGAAAGTGTACTAATATTTGCAATTTGCTTCAAAAAATAACTAGATAAATGAAGGTTAGAGGGATAGAGAGACATACGACAGGCAAGCATAAGATAAACACGGGGGTAGAACGGGGAGGCCGGCACACAGGTGTTCCCTCTACAGTTCTATCAGTTTTGTTGGGAAGGCAATGTGGGGAGGCCTCCCTCTTCCCCTTCTGAGTGATTTCTCTACCATCAAGGAAGAGAAGGTTCAAGTCCTCCCATATACCATTTGCAAAGAAAAGCCGTAACTACCAAGTCACTTGATGTTCTCCACAAGTTCAAGAAGTAGGGGGAAACTGAGGCTCAAGGGGTCAATCCACACACTCAAGGACACACAGCCTACAAGAGGCAGAGCTTGGCCCAGACCCTGGGTCTGTGTGACTCCAAAGGCCATTTTCTGTCCTCTCCTCCAGGATGGGCAGCTCTGGGAGTGAGGGCTAGAGCACACCCAAGGTGTGACCCTGGGCACAAACCTCTGCTCTTAGTCCTATTGACAGTAACCAAGGAGGGCACTAGTCCCCTGTGCCCTGGATCCCATCATGGGCCATATGCTGGTCCCTCCTCCTGCCTTTGCTTGTGCTCCTTTCCGTCATTCAAATAATACCAGCGGGGCTGGGGACATGGCTCCAGTGATAGAGTGTCTGCCTAGCAAGCACAAGGCCCTGAGTTTAAACCCCAGTACAACCAAATAATAATAATAATGATACCACCAACAGCTGGTTGCCTTCCCCTAGTGCCTTCAACTCATGGGGTAAGATCCACTCAAACCCTTATTTGCCACCTAGTGGAAAACTGACACCCTTTCTCAGACTGTGTGCCAAACTAATGGCACAGAGGCCCATGTAGTACAGATACAGCACATGGTCTTGAACCTGGGATTTCTACTGCTTCCCAGCCTGTTTTAGGGCCTGGCTAGGTCAGGTCTCGAGACAGGCAGATTCTTCGGTGGTTGAGAACATAGCCTCCCAATATCTCATGGGTGGGGACTCCCTATGCTCAGTCAACTTCCTACATGGCACTTCCGATAACCAGGCACCAACACAGAATCCCCACCAGGTGGCTAGATCAGCCCTTAGGTCAGCCTCATGACCCAGAGATGGTCAGGCTCCCCTTCCCCAGAGTGCACCACTCTCCCAGGGCCTCTCATATAGGACAGAAGCCCTGGTCTAAGGGGGCCCAACCACACTACAACTCTGAACACACCAGGCAGGGGGCTGTCTTGTTGGCTCAGTTCCTCCACCAAGGGGCAGGATGGATGGTGTGATGGGCCATGAGTTGGAGAAATTGATTCAACTCCTGGCACATAGCACATGCTTGATACATGCCTGGCTGTGGGATCTAATAAGGGAAATAGTGGTGGCTATCTTCTGAATTAGAGAGGTCTGCTATGGTAACGCGTCTCTGGCTGACCTAGGAGTTCCCATCATTCATTCATTCATCAGCTACTTATCTGTGCCTGCTGGATGCCAGCCAGGCCTTGTGCTGGATGTTGGGATTGAAGCAGGAACAGACAAAACTCTCTACCGCCATGCAGCTTACAGCCTAGTGAAAGAGGCAGATAGTTTAACCAGATGAGCATGGTAGACTAGATGAATTGACATATGATGCGTCCTTTGGAGAAAAATCCACCAGGAAGTAGGGATTGGTCAGGGAAGGCCCCACAGGGAAGGCCTCCCCAAACAAAGCGTAGAAGGGAAGGGGAGTAGGAGAGAGCCACAGGAATATCTGTGTCACCGGGGGAACCACAGGAGCTGCATATGAGCTACTGAGCTTCCACTGCCTTCTGGAGACAGGGCACTACTCTGGGAGCAGGAGTAGCATACAGGTGCAGAGAGGGGTTGAGGGGAACTGCAAGGCCAGACACTCCCATGCCACAGGGCACTCCCCTTTAGAGCAGGGTAAATCCAGTACTAGGGGCAATGCAGGAGATTGGGTGTACCTGAGAAAGGGTGAGAGAGGGGGTTTCCCAGAGGAAAAGGCATCTTTACCTCAATATTGTAAGACCAGGCAGGTAAGGACAGGGTGGAGGGTAGTGATATCGACTTCAGCACATTCTCTAGAGGAGCTGGGAGCTGCTTATGGTCCTCTGTGGCCTATAGAATCAGTGCTAATGTGGGGATGGATAACATGAGCACAGCCAATTCACTCCAGCTCAGTGGACCTGAGATTTGGGGCTGGGGGGTCGGCGCTGAAGACCAGGGAGTCTTCCTGGAAGAGGTGGCCTTGGAGCTGGGCCTGGCAGCAGACATCATGATGTTAAAACAGAGATGACCTTTGCCAGGGTATCCTGATGGCCCCAGCCCGGGCATAGTACTGTCAGGAAGTGCCTTTGATGGGGCAACTCCAGGGGTGCCCAGAGCCCAGGAAGGGAGGGCCCTGCCCCCCTCTCCTGGCTGCCCTGTCTCCTGCTTTCCCCACCCTGCCCTGAGGAGGAGGAAGTGCCACGGTGCTGATGGATATGCCAAGGCTGGCTGTGCGGCCGGGCACTGTCACCATGCTCTCCCTCCATACGCTGGAACCTGACACCCTGACCACTGAGGCATAAAAAACAGAGAATTGGAAAGCTCAGCCTGTCAGGCTGGGAGTGGCCCCCAGAGAGGCCTGAGCAGGAGCCTGCATGTGTGTGTGTGTGTGTGTGTGTGTGTGTGTGTGTGTGGACACGCTCTGCCTGTGGTTGCCTGTGGAGGTGGGAGGAGGCTGACTAAGGCAGCTGGACCTCAGTCCTGCCTCAGTATTCAGGCCCTGCCTGGACAAGCTCCTGGGATCCCACACATGGGCTTAGGCCATGGTGGGAGAGAGCATTGCTCTTGGTTCTGGGTCCTGGCTGGTTCCTTCTGGAGGCTCTTGTCCTTTGGACTTTATAGGCCTTCTTTGGGAGATGGTGAAGTGAGGCTTGGGCCACAGGTAGCCTCCTGAGGCTGTGTAACTCCTATCATCTCCAGAGAGGAAGGGTTCACAAATTCTGTACCCAGGAGCTTGAGAAAACCACTGGACATCTGACTTTCTATATCCCGCTCCAGGGCCTCTGCTAGACACACCCTCTATCGGGTACTGGGGAACCCAGCAAGGACTCAGGGCCCAAGCCTGCCCTCTGGAGGCCTCCAGCCTCTGTGGAGACAGGCAGGCCTTGCCTGGGTGTGGAGGCCAGGATCTGAGGCTTCCCCCAGACCTAGCAGGCAATAAAGAGACTCTCCTGGGGCTGCCACATGCCCAGGGAAGGGCCAGAGATAAGCTTACTGCTCCTCCAGCCTCTGGGTCAGAGCAAGGTGTCCCCACTCTGAAATGCCTCACAGGTCCTGCCTGAGCATGCCCAGATCTGCCAACAGTTGCCCGTTCCCCAGGGCAGAGAGATTCCAATCCACCCCCTCTTCTGTGTTTCCCAGCCCTTCGGATTGTCCTGTGCCACCTTTATCCTTCAGGCATAGGACTTAACTCTGTGTTTTATTTTCCAACTAGATTGAGGCCTTAGGTATGGCTGCTCCTGGATTTATAGTGCAGGGAGCCAGGCTAGTGTTGAGATCATGGGGCATGGAAATGAATCCACACTAGAGTTCTGGAAGGGCCCCCGCCAGAGTGGAGAGCCTTGCAGTCTGGGGCTTTGGACTTGGGCTTGTGTACCAAGGCCATTTTGTAAGACCCTGTGCATCAGCCTCCTCACCTGTAAAATGGACCAGTGGCCCCTGGGAACACCTGTGGTGGCTCTGTGGCACCCACATGAGAGGTTGGTTTTCATCCCACTGATGCAAATGGTTTTAGGAGGAAAGAGACAGTGCCAATACAGCTGTCCACTTACTAAGGATATTCCCCAATGTGCCCTTATTGGTTATGAAAAGTATCTACAGTTCATGTAGGAGAGAAATGCCACCACAAAAGCTGGCTGGGACCGAGGGCCTTTTCTGAATTGATTTGACATGTGATTCCTCTTTCTTTCTCCATCCACCACCTGCAGGGAGTGAGTTTTCTGGGAGTCCCTACAGCCACCCTCAGTATTCCTCATACAACGACTCGTGGAGGTTTCCCAACCCAGGGCTGCTTGGTGAGTACTGGCAGAGGCCTTTGTGGGCCCCTGGGCCATCGACTGCCCCATCTGGGCCTCCTCATTGGGTCAGGTCCTTCAACATTCTTGAGGTTCATTCACTGAGATGGAGTGGGTAGCGTGCCTCCCATACATGGAATACAGGGGTTGTTATGGGGCCTTAGGTCAGTAAACACCACTTCAGCACTTCTTGTGCCCTCATCCCTCCTCCCAGATGTTTTGGTGGATTAGGGAAAATGTTATGGAAGGGGAACAGAGGAAAAAGGGGCACTGAGGGAGAAAGAAGAAGGTAGGAAAAGTGCTTGCCATGAGTGATTTGTGTTTCTTAAGACCAATTAAACATGGAGAGAACTCTAAATAAAAGGCAGTAAAGACATCAACCTGGATTCACTGGTGGTGGATGCCTGGAGAGCCATCTTGCTAAGGGATCTAAGGCCCAGTGATTGTTTAGTGATGTCTGCCATGGACAGCACCAGTGCCAGCTCCAGTGGAAACTGGCTGCCCTGTGGCTAAAGGTCTGCCAAGTATGCCATGCAGGGCTCACCTGGTGCCCCAACCTCTGCCCAATTCAAAGCCTCCAATTAGCAGGTTGTCCATAGCTGGTGCCAGCTTGAGCTAACATCATCAATGTATTTGGCCCCCCCAAAGACCGAATAGGACTAAAGCAGTTCACACAAGTCCACGAAGAGTCTTTTGTTTTGTTGACATAAACTTACATGAAACCAGTTGGTAAATGCCAGCTGGAGCTAAAAGATCTTGCAACAGAGATCCCCCAAGTTACAGATGTCACTCACCACCTGAGGGTGGAGCCAGCCAATCAGTCTTCAGTCAACAACGCTGATTCCTCCCCTAACATCAGCTGAGAATTTTGTACTTGGAGCAGTGAAAAGTCAGACATGAAAGGGCCCTCTGAGACCACTCTGGTTTGTCTGTCCACCTTAACAAGGTCTCCTGAAGTTAGAGTCTATTAATTCCCCAGATCCTTAATTATTTTAGGACTGAGAAGCATAGACTTCATCAGACAAGCAGCAACCTGAGGTCTTCAAACTCAAGTTGCCAAACCATAGGTTGTGAAAGACGTCCTGAAGTCTCCTCCTTGACCCCTTCCCAATCCTGCTTTGATGATTAGGACAGACTCATGGTATAAACACCAAATCTCTCTTACTATCCCCATTCCTTGAACCTGAAGCCTTGGGCTGCCCAGAGGATTTTGGTGTGCTATGTATAACTGTCTATGAAATAAGAAACATTGCCAATTAGTGCCCCAGTTCCCCAGGTGAGGGAGATTTCCAGCCTTACAGAAGACAAATAGGCTTTCATTAGCTACAGTTTCCCAGGGGGCCTGAATCTGTGAATGGGTCTCTTTTCATACTTCTTTTTTGTGTGGAATCACTTCTGAGTGTTGAACCGGGGTCTCCACTTAACCCGATGACTTTCCTTAAATAGACTCTCAAGTTGACCCGGCTGCCTGTCTCAGGAATCAGGAGGTATGGACTGGCTGAGGTCTCCTAGATCCAGTGTCTTCCAGGGAGGGGAGAGTCAGGGGATGGGGCTTAAGGCCCAAGCCCAGGAGTCCCTTCAACGCAGCTCTGGTCCCAGTGCTGCTGGGAGTCCCGCAGGGATGTGCCTCAAAGGAGGCCTGGGCATCAGCCTGTGGGAGCAGTTCCTTCTGATGGGGATATGATTCCAAGGGGCCACTTTGGTGCAGGGCTTCCCTGTATGACTGCACTGTGTAGGGGTGACAGAGAGCCGAAATCTAGTCCATGCATGGTCCAAAGCCCTGTCCAAAAGGGACACCTTTTTCTGAATTTCACAAGGCATCCCATAGGTTGGCAGTGGCCTTCATTTCTTTGTCTGAGAGAGAATTCAAGAGATGGAGAAGTAATGACGATACTGCTTAGTGTAGGAGGTAGGGTGGTCTGTGGAGCGTGCACAAATGGGAGACCTTGAATGCGAGACTGAGAAGTTTGGTTGTGTGGACAGCTATGTGGCCAAGTGCATGGGGTGGGAGTTCTGCACTGCATCCAAGGTTTTGCTGATCAAGTTAAAGGTTTTGCTGATGTGGGGAAAACACAGACTATGCCCACTTACTGCCCATGGAGTAAGTCAGGAGCGCACCTAGTCGTCACACTACAGGCCTACTCTATTACAAACATTCCCTTGCTGACAGCTGGCACCCCCACGGCTACTTGCTCTCTGCAGCAGCTTTTCCCAGGGTGCTCAAGACTAGGCATCAGAAAGTCTGCCCTGCCACCACCCAGACATAGGAGCCTTTGCCGCCCACTCCCAACAGATGGAGTCCACAGATTACTTCCTCAAGTTGCTCCCTTCCTGATCAAAGCCATCTACCATGTAACACATCCAAGCCCCAGCCCCAAGGAAAGCAGGAATGAGTTCACAGGCCTCATGCCACAGAGAACTGTCAGCACAGAAAGAGTGTAAGTGACACAGGGCAGGTACGAGCGTAAGGAATGGCTCAGAGCTACCCAAGTTCATAACCCGGAAATCCTAGTCAGACCGAGCCAGGGCTCAGTTGGCTCTGGTGGGAAATGAAGATGGTCCTTGTGGCAGCCTAGTGGGTGCTGAAACATGATGTGCTTGAGGTGCGCCCTGAATCCACACTCATCCTGCTTGCTTGAGGATGCGGAGAGCCTGGCTCACCCGACCGTAGCCTTGCAAACAGCTCCAGACCCATTCGCATCTACCAGGCTGTGCTTCCCCCACGGGGTTCAGCTGAGTGAATTCCAGGGGGTTCGGTCCAGGGAGGCCTAGCCTGGTGATATCCACAGTCTGGGGATGGTGTATGAGGGTTTGAGGGCCTGTCCCGTGGTCCCTAGTGCTTCTGCTGGCTTAGTGGGGTCTGTGGGTACAGGTGAGCCCCTGTAGACAAGCTCCCTCAGCACTCACATACATCATGGCTTAGGTCATGCTGCTAGTACACCTCTACCAGCCTGGTCCAGGCCTCCTTCACAAACACCGCCAGGGTGAGGACCAGCAATGTCATCCAATGAAGAAGAAAGACACAGTGCCTACTGGCTTCTTGGGAAAACTTCCCTCCCCACATGTGTGCCCAGCCAGGGTGGCTGTGACTCAGCAGCCTGTCCTGCAGGGTCCCCCATGCTGGTGAAAGGACAGCAGAGGCAGGGGGGCAGGCAGGGCTGGCGGAGAGACAGGCAGCTGCAGACAATTAGGATTAGAATGGGACAACCATGGCTGCTATAAAGGGATTAGACAGGGAGCCAGCCCCGAATGACTGTGTCAAGAAGTAAATTGATGATAATGTGAATTAGAGAGGAAAAATGACAGAAGAAAGAACAAGTTTATTCTATATGAAGGTCTAATGGGCACCAGGAAGACAGCGCTTTGTGAGGTGATGTTTTCATTTTTCACACGAAATACAAACTCTCAGCAGAGGCTGCTGGCTGGTCTGACCAAGACCAGGTGCTCGGAAGGGGCGAAAGGTAGTGGAGGTGGGGGGTACAGATTTGGAGGGCCTGCCAGGGAGCTTCTGGGAGTGCCTTGCACCACCTTTTGTGGGCCTTGTGCAGTCCCGCAGGGATGGCCCCCTCACATATGCTTCTCTCCCCGAAGTCTGTTCTCACACAACACAGAACTGGGAGCTGCAGCTAGTCTGTGAGCAATGTTCCGATGCTGTCTTTTCCCACAGAGGGAAGTGCAGAGGATGACAGGCGTCTGAGTCAGGGTTCTGGCCACGAGATGACCATGAAGGCAGCAGGAACCTGAGTCTCTGGGAATGCTTATGCATGGGATTGGGGTCATGGCTTCCAGAACAGAACAGTGAGGCATTGCTGACTCTACCACCATAGCTGCTACCTGGGTCCACACTGCCTTCCAGGGTGGTGGGGGTGGGGGTAGAATAGGAAGGACAAGAGTCCATCGCTGATGGGGCTGAGTTAGAGGCGAGGCAGCACATGCTGTAGTACCCCTCAACCTGCCCTATTCCATGTTAGCTGTATGGCTTAGGGGAAGTTACTTAACCTCTCTGTGTCCCATTTTCCTCATCCATAAAATGGAGATACTAATTGTTCCTACCTGATAGGATTGTCGCGGAAATTAAGAGCTCATGAATATAAGGTTCTTACAAAAGTAGCCATTGTCACAGAATGTGCACATCTTTATTACATGGTGCCCTGTCAATAACTCCACTGTAACCCCTTTTACAGATGTAAAAACTGAGACTGGGGGAGCAAAGTCACTTGTTCAAGCCTGACTGGCAACCCTCCCCAGTCTCAGCCTCTATCAGGATTGGTTTGGATGTGGGTAAGATTTCAGAACAAACAGGAGTTTGCTCACCTGGTGATGAAGCTTGCTAGTCCCATCACTGCAGACAGGCGGTGTATGACTGGCTGACAAGGCTCCAGACACTGCCTGCTGAAGCTCTGGTATCAGCTTGACCTGCACTGTGGAAAGAGCCCTGAGCTGGAAACCTGAAATCCAGGCCAGACTCCAGCATTGAGGCTCTATGGCTTTGGGCACCTGATTTTGGCTTGTCAAACCTTGGTTTCCTCACCTATAAAAGACTGGCAGCTCTAACCTGTGTGGTTTTGAGAATCTATCTGGTCCCCCTGGATATGCCAACTCCTCATCCACAACTATGGAGGCCACAAGCCAAGGGCGTCACCTAAAAAAACAGCCAGAGGCAGTGAGAGGGAGTTTGAAGGCCCTCCCAATGCTCTGTCCCAGGGGCACAGGAAGGGGCTGCACCTGCCCTTCTGCCACATACCCACATCCCCCGCTACCCCATGTCCTCCAAACCCAGCCTAACCCTGCTTCCTCCAGGAAGCTGACTTGCCAGGACAGGCTCTGTTTCCCAGAGCTGTTTTCTCAGAGCTCCGATCCCCTTCCTGACTCTGAACATCGGCCTGTGTCCAGCTGATAGCTACCCATTATTGCCAGCCCTACACCCAACAGAGTGGCGAAATGAGCAGTGAATGAACTAGTGAATGGATGGATGGATGGATGAGCAGGGTGGCTGAGGGGGTCTCCATTCTTGTTCACTCACTGGTGCTATTGCTCATTTGCACCAAAACATCAGCTGAGCAGGGCCAGGCTCCAGGCTGGGAACTGGGGACAGACTCCAAGAAGAGCAAAGTCCAGTCCCTGCCATTACAGGACTATCTAGGGATGGGGAAGTACAGAAAGACAGATAAACGTGGCATGGCACATGGCCCAGCCTGTTGGAGAGTGCAAGCAGGCAGGGCAGGAACCCTCCTGGAGGAGGACAGAGTTTTTGGTGAGAGGGGACAGTAGACTGAGCTGGGTTGGGGGCAGAAGGGACAGAGGTGGGGACACTGGTGGACAGGGGACCCCAGGTCCAGCCTCAATGGCTTCTCTCATCTTTTCCAGGCTCCCCCTATTATTACAGCGCTGCTGCCCGAGGAGCCGCCCCACCTGCCACTGCCACTGCCTATGACCGCCACTGACCCTCGGAGCCAGGCAGGCGCCAAGCACTTATGACACATATCACTGATGGAGATAACCTCCCAGAACCCTCCTCCCCTGACAGCCAGAAGGGCCCAATATGACCATTCCCCAACCCCCATCCCCGCTCACCTGGAACTCCTCCCTCTCCTTTTCCTGCCAGGGACTCAGGTTCTTTGGTAGGGCTGTTGGATTTGTGAACCCCTGTTCCTTGCAAGAGTCAATCAGTGAGCTTCTCTGAGTGGTCATGGGGTCTCTGCAAACCAACAGACTCTTCTGCAGCCCACTGCAACCCAACCCATCCTAACCTGCCAGTCCCTCAGCCACTGCAAGCCTGGAAAAGAGAGCTAACTTCTTTTACTTCAACAGCACCTATGTAAATACTTCTTGCTTTTCTGTGGGCCCAAGGGTCCTCCCGAGCAGACCCCACCCCACAATGCATCCTGCACTTACTGTGCATCACAGGACATCTTTAACCTGTGCACAGGTGCCACCTTTGCCCTGTGTGCCCCTATCAAGTGGGCTTGTAGCTGTCCTAAGGATGCTCACGTTGGGACCCTAGCCTCCTGTTCAGCCCTACTTCTCTAATGTCTACGAGGCTCATTGGGTTGCAATCTCCTTCTGACCCCCCCCACCCCAGTGGAATACAACTTGAGGAGACTCCCAGGCTGCCTGCCTCCATTTTCCCGGGTCCACTGCAGTGTGAGCAGCTCTTTTCCAGATTGAAGGACTCAGAGAACCATCTGAGAGATTGCTCGGCTGCTGTTCTCAAGTGAGAGGTCATCCAAGAGCTGATGGCGTCATGGACTTTGACTGTTAGGGCTGGGCAGGATCAAGAGATCATCTGGTCCAAGCCAGGGAGGAGTCTGAAGCTCTCTTGACCCACTTGGTCCCCAGAACTGCTGAACTGAATTGGAATATGGTTTCTGAGACATGTCTTGGCCTGACTCACTTTGGACAACCACCATGAACATTTCACCCACCCTCCAGGACCCCAGCAAATGGATTCTGAGAAGCCTATCCCAATGATACAGACAGTGATTATCAAACAGGACTTTCCTCTGTACCAAGGACCACAGCATCCTTCAGGCATCAGCTAGAACTTCTGAGCTTCTTCTTGGGTAGCCTTCCTGGTCTTTGTGGAATGTGTAGCTGGCTCACAAAGGTGCTAGAGTAGAGGGCAGATGCCTAACTTCACATTGCGCAGACCTACCTGTTGGTACAAGGGGCTGGGATGGTCAAGGCTAGGCCAAAGGCCACAGGAACTCATGGTGGGTGGCTGGCCAGAGGAAGCTAGCTGGGAAGACATAGAGATAGGGAAGGCCTCTGGGGGGAGCAGTGAGGATCTGGTGTGTGAGCTGGGAGTGGCTTTGAGATGGGGGCATCAGGTGCCACCATCTCTTTACCTGGGATCTCAATTCTTTGTGCAATCTCTCTTGCTAACTCAGAACAGCCAGGTGGAGCCCCATCAAAACCTGGGCTGAATTACAACAATGACAGTGGGCTTGGTCATTTCCAGTGACAGTGTCCCTGGTGTCTGTACGTCACCAGGTTAAAAGATAATTATGGCAGAGAGAGCCTGGATTGGGGATCATTGGGTCTGGCAGGACTTGTTTTGGCCACATGTCTGCTTTACTGTGGGACTCTTGACCTCTCTTAGCCTCAGCTGTCTTGGTACTGCAGGGTCACCTGACCATTTTCTCCTTCTCTTCCTCCTTCCCAAGGAGCTGGGGCTATAGAAGGGTGGCCTGGGATAGTCACTCTACTTCTAAGCAAGTATATAGGGGTAGGCACCTGAGTTCTGCTAATGTTCAGATTAAGTGGGAAATGAAAATACCCTGGGGTAGGAACCAGAAGAGCCTTCAAAAAGACTCAGGCCAGCTCCCCTAGGGAAACTGAGGCCTGACTTGGGGAAGCCCAGGACCATGCAGGCAGATAGAGCAAACCTCCTCTGGCCACCCCCAAATGTTTTGTCCCCAACACCCCGATAGAGTTCTAGGACAGATGAGGAAACTGAGGCTTAGCAAAATGACTGGCAGAGGTAAGACTAAGACTTGGACCCTGACCTCTAACACATGGTGATCCTGGTCACTCCCATCTGTCCATCTTCTGTCCCTGGAAGAGAAGTTGACAATGAGGGCAGCAGGAGATGGTTCTGGGCCCAGTGCTCCAGACTGAGTGCCTGAGCTGTTAGAACCGCTGAGGAATCAGTCACCAGGCCAATGGTGGGGCCCAGTGAACTCACGTAGGCACACCACCCCCAGGGGATCTGCTGGGCAACGAAGAGTGATAGCTGGGGCCAGAGCCCACCTCCAGGAGCCAAGCTGAACTGGCTCCAGCCTCCACCTGCCAGGCAAGGTAGGAGAAGGTATATCGTCTGACTCCTTCCTTCCTCTTCCCTCCTTCCTCCCTCTCACAGGAAGTGGCAGGCATAGAGGTTCTTCAGCACAGACCTCTTGGGCCCTGCCCCTGCCACGCCTCTCTTGGATCCTGGTCCTCCTGTGATTTCAGGTTTTGGGAGAAGTTCAGCCATCCCTGCACCAGCTGCTGATGGCACACACTGTCTTTCCTCAGCAAAGCCCATCTGGTCTCACAGTGACCCCCTCCCCATCCTGTCCCCATTAAGTCCCTTAATGAGCTCCCTCCATGACTTTCCTCTTTCACCGAGGCTTTGATGGAACTCAGATTGGATTTGTATTTATTAGACAGCCACATGGTTCCTGGGCTGCCAGGCAGAAGCACAAGAATACATAGATGCCATGGGTGTTCTTACAAACGCACACTTGCTCTCACCGACTCAGAGCTCCCACGCTGCCCAGCAGAGCTGCCGGTGGCCTGTGAGGACAGTTCTAAAGGACGCAGCCATTGACTAGATTCCAGAGAATTCTTGAACAGGAAACACAGGTCTGTGTTTCTGGGCTTCACCAGCATTGTGGCAGGTGGCCCGGAGCATTCCTCCATGGGCCTTCAGCCCCACAGTCCAGCTCAGATCTTTGAAGAGGGTATTTCATACCATTTACCTGGCTCCAATCTGGAAATTTTCGATGCTATATCAAACCCACCATCCCTTTCCTGAGATGCCCTGGTTAAAGTTAGTGCTTTCATACCTGACATTGTGCAGTGCTTTGCAATCCTTGACCATCCTGTGGGTGAAGATGATGCCTATTTCACAGATGGGAACATCCACATTTTGGGCTTACCAGGTAAGCTAGAGATGAGGTGAAAGCACAGATCAGACTCCATTCTCTCTCCACACAGCTGCACAGAGACACCCACTCCTCATTCCTTCAGGAAACCCCCAATCCCACAATGAGGAAAGAAAGAATAGAGCCCAGAAACTGCCCTGATGAAAGGGCCTGGAAGGTGGTGGTTCCAACTGATCCCCATTAAAACTGAAACTTGCAGTCTTTGCCAAATTCACAACACCACTTCTGAGCCTTCCCCGGAGTCCTTCTCTGTCATATCCTGAGGCTCAGAGGGAGCAGAGCCTGTCCAAGAACATACCACAGTTCCTGCCAGGGCCTGGATATGTGCCAGCTATGACTCCCAAGCTGCAGGGCTCTGGTGTTATGAGCTGTCTCCTTTCTCCTGCTTTCTCTGCCCTTTCTGTTTTGGAACTGACTGTGAAAATATGCAGGATTGCCTGAGCTAGGGCCTCTGGCACACACAGGCCCAGAAAGCACATATTGCAATCTTAAGGGCCCCAAACAAACTGCTTTCCTGGCTAGGCAGGTGGTGTGATTCTACCCCTGGGCAGGACACAAAGCAGCATGGCACAGTGGGGCCTGGGATGCCCAGAAGCATGCTTGCTTTGCTGAGCGACATTCAAGATTGAAAACACTATCAGCCAAAAGAAAACAGATGTCTAGGTGCCAAATCTGACCCACCAGCCAATCTTGTGACTTCCCCCCCCTCCACCGCCAGTCTTTGTGGAATGCCCCCTATCTGCCTCACCTCCTTGACTTTCGTTGCACATTTGAAGGAAATGAGAACCCAGAGAGGAGGGATGATCTTCAGGTTGTCTAGAAGGTCAGTGGCAGAAATAGGCAGACCCAGGCCTTGCCCTCCTCCGGTGCCTCATCCTGGGCTCTTACAAAGTCTGTGGGCTTTAGAGGTGGATGAGCATTTGTGGGGATGGGGAGCGTGATTGGCTCTTCCGGGGAAGTAAATGGTGCTGGGGCCTTTCCTGTGTACAGGGAAGGACCCCAGATGTGGCCACAGGGCACTGAGGGGTGAAATCCTTTTATGAGGAGTCACGCCCCAGAGTGACTGCCCTGGCTTTGATAGCCTTGGCTCCAGCCACCTCCTTGTGGATGACATTTCAGGTAGACTTTAGCTCCAAGCCATGGGGAGCAAATCTTAAAAACAAACCAAGCACCTCCAGCAAATACCTGGGAACAAGCTATGTCTCAGATACAGCTTCTCAGGAGGGCAGAGAAAAGTCCAGGCTCCAGGATCGGCTGACTCCATAAGACTCTGGGCTAGACCAGCATTACAGTGGCCCTGGCCTTGTCACCCATCCAGAGCCTGCCTCTGATGGGTTTGAGGCATGCACACTGGTACTCCTGGTGAATTTATTCCCTTAGTTCTTTTGGCCTCAGAGAGGTCCAAGGCAAGTGCATTTCTTAAAAGGTAACAAAATACATGATTGGAAAGTTGGACAGTCAGGCCATGACTTCTAGCCTGCAGTCTGCCCCACCTCCCAGTGGCCCCTTCAGCCCCTTGTCCCCTGTTGTCCCTGGACCTCAGAATCCCCTCTTGCATATTCATGGGAGAGCCACAGTGTTGATCCACACTTCCCTGCTGTCAGCTCAGGCTGTGACTCCAGTGGAGGCCAGGTCCCCAGGGGGCCCAGCTGCGGAGGACATGGTGAATCCCTTGCACGTGCTTCTGGCTCCTGCCAGGGCTGCAGCTTTTCTGAAGTGGGTCACTTGCTGAGAACCCGACAAGCACCTGTCTTCCTTTCATTCTCGGGAAATTCCTCAGCACTGAGGCCCAGCTC